GATGTATGGAGACATGGTGCATGTGTTGATGCAAAAACTGAATAGGGAAATTCAGATTCATCAAACAAAACATGCCTGGAAATATAAACTTTCTTTTTATTAACTTCATAACAAATATAGCCCTTGTACTTTGATGCATATCCCAGAAAAATGCACTTAATTGTTCTAGGTTGTAACTTTGTGGTGGTTAAAGGTCGTAAAAGTGGATAACAAGAGCAACCAAAGACTTTAAGGTGATTGACACCAGGGACAGAACCATATAACATTTCAAATGGTGATTTCTGATTCAGTGTTTGAGATGGCATTCGATTAATAAGATAGACTGATGTTTGACTGGCACAAGACCAAAATGGTGCAGGTAGGTGATATGTCTGAAGTAAGGTAATTGTAGTTTCAATAATGTGACGATGTTTCCTCTCGGCCAACCCATTTTGTTCTGGTGTGTATGGACAAGATAAATGGTGACTAATGCCTTTGGCAGCAAGAAAAGTTTGTAACTGGTGCCCTATATACTCACCCCTCCATCACTTTGAAGTGTTTTAATAGACACTGAGAAATGAGTAAGTACAAACTGATAGAAGGTAAGAAATGTAGGACAAACATCAGCTTTATTGACAAGGGGAAAAATCCAACAAAATCGAGTACATTGATCTATGAAGGTAACATAGTACTTAAAACCTTCTATAGACAGACATGGAGCAGGACTCCATACATCACTGTGTACAATATCAAAAGGTTGGACATATTTGGATGTGACTGAATCAAAAGGTAGCTTACTAATTTTGCCCTGAATACAACTGGAACACATCACAGGTATGGAATCAGAAATGCTAGATACATTGGATTTCTTAAGCATGAGAGAAACAACTTTGTTGGAAGGGTGGCCTAACCTATGGTGCCATAGACTAGAGGTTACTGGTTTGCCAATATAAGCAGCAGTAGAGAAGGCTTTTGGTGTATGAGAAGCAGAGGATGTGAAAGGAATGGGATACAATCCATCATTGCAGAGACCTTTGAACAATATTCTCCCTGTGGCTTTGTCCTGAATCCAAAAACACCAAGCATCAAATATCAGCCAGCAGTTATTGTCAAGACAGATTTTTTGCACAGAGAGTAAATTCTGAGATATTCTGGGCACATATAAAACTGAATTTAACTTGAGATTATGAAATGGAGTTTGCAATATTGAAGATCCCTTATGAGAGACTTGCAAACCTTCACCACTAGCAGTTTGAATCATCTCAGTGGAAGGAAAAGGGGTTGCCAATGACAAGTTCTTCAAATCTGCAGTCATGTGGTTTGTTGCACCTGAATCCGTAAGCCAAACTTGCTGAGAAAAATTGGAATCCATCGGAGGGGCAGATGCATTGACATGCATAACATTCATTGATCCAGAAGGAGAGTTAGTATTGGCATTCCTGAAATGACAAAATTGTGCATTGTGGTTCTTTCGGCCACATATTTGACACCCTTCAGCTATTGCACAGTCAGTGTTCCGAAATCGACATGTATCAGCAAGATGACCATACTTGCCACATATCTGACAAGAATGTCCAGAAGCAACTTGATTTGGTGAATTGCCAAGAATCCCACGAGCCGAATTTGGATAAAAAAGCTTGTTGTTCCCAAATTTGGAACCATATTGGAACTTCCCTTTCCCTTTATTCTTGTTGTAGAATGGTTTATACTGGGAACCATATTGATTGCCATAGGATCCTTCAACACTTTGATTATTGGAAGAAGAATGTTGCCCAAATTTCCCATTGAACCGTGTCTGAGAACTACTATTTTCAGCAGCCATTGCAGTAAGAAAATGAGTTGCAGAAACACTCTCAATCATTGCTTCTTCAGCAAGCAATTGAGATCTCAAATCTTTAATAGAAATAACATGTTCCCTTCCTCTAATGATGGATCGAATGGTATTATACTCCGATGATAAGCCATTAAGCGTAAGAATTACTATATCATCATCATCAAATTTAACCCCAGCTGCAGAAAGATAGTCCCTAGCCTCCTTGATTCTTTGCAAATACAAAGAAATAGAATCATTACCCTTTTTGACATTCTGCAATTCTGACTTCATTTGGAAGATACTGGTTCTTGTAACCGTCGAGAATTGTTCCTTGAGTCTTGTCCAGGTATCCTGAGCACTAGTGCTACCGATCACACAAGAAATAGCAGATGGCGAAAGAGTCGCAGTGATCAACTGCATTAAGGCACGATCATGCATCTTCCAAATCTTGTAGTCATCAGATTCTGTGTGAGAAATAGTTCCTTGAGAATCTTCCTCAGACCCACTAGAGGTAGACCTTGTAAATCGAATAGGACATGGGGTAGATCCATCCACAAAACCCAAAATACCATGCCCTTCGAGAAGAAGCTGCATCTGAAAATGCCAAACCAAGTAGTTTGTCTCATCAAGCTTTACTGTCACGGACGTTGAAACAGTGGAGATGAGAGAAGTAATTGGAGACTGGAGAATCTGTAATTGGGAAGCAGTAACCATTGGTGCAAGAAATCAGAAAACTTGTTCAAGAACGAGGATTGAGGACTTGTATCGAACACTTGGTGTGCACAGAAGACAAACGCCAAGAATAGTGAAATGTAGAAGATGATGAGCCCCAAAAAATCAAACAGAGCACACAAAGATAAAAAACATCAAAGAAATCAGAAATGATGAGCGGAAGCAGTCCAAGATCGAAGAACTTCAACCGAGCGATTAGCTATTCCGGCGAAGATACCATGTAAACTAAACTGTAATAGCAGGAGAATATGCAGTACTCGAGAGAGAAAGAGAAAGAGAGAGAGAGAGAGATTTAGAGAGTGAAGTTGATACTTTCATATGTAATATTTTCTATTACTTCAATCTTACAATATCAAGACTATATACTATATGAAACTGCCTAAGTCACAATATAACTAACTCTAACAACCTTCCTAATCTTTTGACAAGTGTCTTCATATTCTACCATTGGATTACTATCCTTAACACTCCAAATGATGGCGGGTTTATTCTTCGATTAGTCGGAATAAAAATTTTCAAAACCCATAAGCATCATTTAAATTGAGAACTATAATTGGTGAAAGTGCAAAAAGATAATAATTCGACGTGAACGAGATTTTGATATCTTCTAACCAAGAGAAAAGTGGTGTTGTTATTATTATAAGTATGGTATGCAGAAGATAAATGATATGATCTTAGAACAAAGGATAAGTTGTCAATACGTGCATACGCGCATACCCCTAATATTTATTTATGGAAGTAAGGATGGATGTATTTATACCTGTGATTCTGCCAAGGCAATAATTAACATCAGAAGGCTGGACAATGCCGCTAGGGCATTGAATGGAGGCAAGCTTGGCGTTCAAGTATTCTGAATAAACGGTTGCGACGAATACAGCAGTAGAAGTGTACTGAAGATTTGTTCCATGGCAAAAACCATAACAACCCACCAGGCGTCTTCTTCACGTTGTTGTTACCTTTGTGAACGCGAGAGCAAATGGATTGCTCAGTTTGGCTCTTGTATCGTCTCCAATAACTTGTCATCCCAAGCAAACAAAGTTGTAGCACCACCAGTACTGCCTGCTTGGCCAAGATAATCCAGGTAGGTTTTATCATCAGTGGAACGATGAAGCCATGCAGCAGCCCACAATAGTTCATCCTGATGAGAAACAAAAGTATACAGTTTAGCAAACTCGAATAACTATAAATTTTCACATATCCTTAGATATTGATACACCAAATTATATGTGTGTGTGTGTGAAAAGTAAATTAACATATTGCATAATATAGTACCAAATTTGTGAACCCAAAAATAGGGTACGAGTTTTGAAGCTGGATTAATAACAGATATATTAAGAATCTGACCCTGCACTCATTCTGTCTTCTCTTGGGGAAAAAGTCCGAAAATAAACAAGATCGTACTTATATCTTGAATCATGATTCGTAATGCATCACCAATTAGTCTGGGTGGTGTAGTCGGTTATCACGCTAGTCTCACACACTAGAGGTCCCCGGTTCGAACCCGGGCTCAGACACTTTATGATTTTTGTATAAACTATTACTTTTATCTTGTTGCATTCCTTTTTGCCTTCAATTTTCTCGTTGACATTTGGCTTGGCCGCCATTGATAAGGCCTTATCAACACCGAGGAGTCCTATTCTTTTGTCTGACTTAGCAGGCGGCTAATGGGCATAGGGTTTGTAAAAATTTCCGAAAATTTCCGAACCAAACCAAAAAACTTCTGATTTCAAACTAAAAAAAAATCTCAAACCAAAATTCCCAAAATTTTTTATCATGAAATACCGAATCGATCTCGAAATTTTGGTACGAGATTCGATATTGTCTAATTAATCTTTTAGTAATTCCATACCGAACCAAAAATAAATAATATATATTATTATACATTTGAATTGTTGCTAATTATTAGTAACAATATAATTGGTGTGATCTAATCATAGCTCTTTATCCCACATTTACTGATACGAACCTTCTACAAATGTGTCTATTTCTTCAACATGAAATCAAAAAATTGTATTGTTAGTTTTTGAATATATTAGGTTTGTAACTTTTTTTTTTTTTAGCTTTTGGGTTTGTTACTTATTTTATTTTATTTGCATGTTAATTTAACTTGGTATGTATGATTGCTATTTCAATTTGTATGAAATTTGAGAATACCAAACCATATCGAAATACCAAGATTCCCAAAATTTGAGAATACCAAAATTTTGATACAGAATTGATCTTCAAATTCCCGTCCCAAAATTTTTTCAGTTTAGGATCTCATACCGAACCACCCTTATAGGCATATATTTTATCTTTTCTCTTTACTTCCTCTGAGCGACTGGTATCCTGCCAGTACCAGCCAACAATTTCGTCCAAATTTTGCCCCATTTTAACATTTTGAAGGAAATGATTGACAAGCATTTGCGCCCTCCATTCCAAGTCTTTGGCTAATTTCTGTATTCCCCACAGCCACAGGTAAACGATTTGATATCCTCCCTTTGTTAACAACTCTTAATTCTGGATTTGGCTACGATATTTACATCTATATGGTGAGCTGACAAGTAAGTTGATGTACTATGGTCTGGTGGTGGTCTGGACTTATAAGAAGTTTAGTTTGAATATCGTGGATAACGAATTTGGTACCAAATTAAATTACCCATGTGTAGCTTAGCCGAACTCCCTCCTATTAGTGTAAACAATATGGTTGTACTAAAAATAAAGAAAACAAGTAAGTTGGTGTCTTTGATTGATTGTTTCCACATTGTAAGCATAGCCCGGAGTGTTTTATATGTGCGTTTGACAGTTGGTTGACGTTGAACGCAATGTGTTTGATGAAATGCGCAAGTGATCTCGTAGTAAGCGTGTGAGAGGCTTGCTACTACTCCTTAGGGCATATATCCGTTGTTTATCTGGGGTTCCACTCTTTTTCTTTTAGTTTTTGATTTATTTACATTAGCAGAAACACGGTTTCTAGGAAACTGAAAGAACGGAAAATGTACACTGAGCGCTTCTTACAGTGAAGAAGTAGACCTTAGAGAGTGGAAGCAGACCGAGATTGACTTGAATCACGCGTTTTCAAAGCATTACTATTCCTGAGTGCAGGTTCGGTGAGTTGCAGATAGTTAAATATTCTTGCGAAAATTGCAGTGATGTGATCTGGGTACAACAAACAAAAGAAATGCAAGTTCAAACACTTTCACTCCAGAGTTACACTCTCAGTCCACCCACTGTCTCGCTACCACAGCAACTTTCCAGTAAACTGTTGAGGTCGAATCCAAATTCAAATTCTGGGTTTTGCAATCCACTCAGAAGGATGTCCAAATCACCAAATGGTTTGAGAAGTCATGGTAAATCTGTTGGGGTCATGTGTGGAGTGGCACAAGACGCGGGTGCAGATGATGGGTTCTATATGAGGAGGTGTGTAGAGCTTGCAAGAAAGGCTATCGGGTGTACCAGCCCCAATCCTATGGTGGGTTGTGTTATTGTCAAGGATGGCAAGGTTGTTGGTGAAGGCTTTCACCCAAAAGCTGGCCAGCCGCATGCTGAGGTATACTTCTTTTCCTTAGTTTTAATGAAGTGGTTGAAACTTTCGGTCACTTTGCTCTTTGGTTGGTTGCTTACAAGTTAAAATATTTTGGAAAGATCACAAAAATAACTAAACGAAGGGAAAGTAAATACCTAGATGCCGAGTCTTTCAACTTTTATTGTGGACCGTATGGTTCTGTTCTTTCTGGTTTTTTTTTTCTCTGGTTTTTTCTTAGTTTTATAATTGATTTCGTAATTATCATGCGATTTGCCAAATTTTACCTGTTGTTATAAGTAGCTGTTAATGTAAACTTAGATCAAGAAGTCAAAATGTCAAATGTTACAGGTTTTTGCTCTGAGAGATGCTGGGGATTTGGCTGAAAATGCAACAGCATATGTGAGCTTGGAACCGTGCAATCACTATGGGAGAACACCACCATGCAGCGAAGCCCTAATTAAAGCCAAAGTGAAAAAAGTGGTGGTTGGAATGGTGGATCCGAATCCAATCGTGGCATCGAAGGGGTTGGATAGATTAAGAGATGTTGGAATTGATGTTACTACGGGTGTAGAAGAAGAACTATGCAAGAGGCTAAATGAGGCTTATATCCATCGCATGCTAACAGGGAATCCTTTCGTCACTATCCGGTAAATTTGTTTTGTTTAGATTAGTCAATAGTAAAGACAATCATGGGGCATTAAAATGAGTGGAAATGTTACCTTATTTGATACTTTTTTTCGTATATGCCTTGATGTATTTGATTAGAGTGAAGTTGAGAGTTATTTCACCCTTTTGTTCTTGTTGGCAGATACTCGATGTCAGTCAATGGACACTTTCTGGATCAGCTTGGACAAGGAGTTGCCGAGTCTGGTGGTTACTATTCGCAATTGTTACAAGAATATGATGCAGTTATTCTTTCTTCTTCCGCAATAATGGAGAACGTCTCTATTCCAGCGTCCCAAGAAGCTGGAGCCAATCAACCACTTCAGATTATAATAGCTAGGGATAGTAGTTCTCCAATCAAAATCCCTGCTCTCACCGTGGAACCAACTGATAAGCTAATAGTCTTTGCAGACAAAGAGACATCGGTAGAACTAGAAAGAGCTCAAACAGGTATTGAAATGGTGGTGTTCGATCAAATAAGCTTAAGTGCTATTTTGGAATACTGTAACTCTCAAGGAATGTGTAGTGTTTTGTTCGATTTAAAGGGAAACGTAAGTGATTTTGAAGAGCTTCTCCAAGACGGCATTGAACAGAAATTGGTGCAAAAAATTGTGGTAGAAGTATTGCCCCTGTGGGATGAAAATGGTGTCAGGAACTTTCCTGTTGCATTGAAGAGTCTGAGTAAAAGAGTAGAACTGAAGAATTTGCAGCCTAAGATTTCAAATGAGAATGTTGTGCTTGAGGGATATCTGTGATAGAAGTGACTAGAACACGAAGAGATTTGACATGATCTTTTCATGCTGATGCGGGAGAGAAATACGAGGATTTTACAGTGTTCGGGAAGAGGGGCAGACGGAGGCCAAGATCGTTTCTGATCTTCACTGGGGCTTAGAGAGTTACTACTTTTTGGTATTTTATTTACCTGCACATTGAGGGCTGCCATAGCCAAAAATGAAGGGAAACTGTATATGTAAGTTTGTATTGGAATCTACATGTTAAATGATTAATAAAATTTGCTTTCGTTTTTGTTTTTGGTTTTTTTTTTAATCTGGTGGATGTGAATTGTGCAGTCTTTTGAATTTTAAGCTCATTTGGAATTTCAAAGGAAGAAAATCATTTTAGAATTCAAGTAAAACAGCCTCAAGTTACAAATTTTGAAGAGTCTCCAATTTTTAAGACTGTTATTAGCACCGGATGCCACAATGACGGTATATCCGTGTGACGAAAATCCTTCCCTACTTTTAATGAGAACCCTAACATCCTTGAAAATTATTAAGTTTGAAAGAACTTCACTGTTAAACTCATTGCTACCTAGCACAATATGCTACCTGTAGTCTAGGGGTGGGAAAAAAACACCGACGAATTGAGAAACTGAATCAGACTATGAGAAAAAAAACCGAAATAAACCTAGTTGACCACGACCCAAAATTGGGATCGAACCGAACCGAGTAAGTAAATAAATGTACATTTATATATGTAAATTGCGTGTCAAATTTTTTAATTTAGTACTGTTGATTTGATATTAATTACCATAATACAGTAACATTGGTTTCTACTCATGTGCTCTGGTTCAAAACTTATCTTTCTTTAAATTATTGTAATAGTTTCTAGTTCTCTTCTCTTTTTTACTAATAATAAAATGAGGATTTACAATGAAGATAAACTGAACCAAATTGTGAGAAAAAACCGACCGAATCGTAAACCTAAATCATGTTAGAAAGACGAAATTTTTAACTAAATTTTTGGTTTAGAATTTCTTTGTTTTTTTTTCTTTTTTTATTGTCAAACGATGAATTTTATTAGATTATATGTTAGATTAACCACCGACAGAATTCAAACATACGCTATCACGCAAGAGCTTAACAAGCTAGGGCCACTTTGGTTCAGAAATTTGGGAGCATTAACTTTCTTCATGCATGTGTTGAATTGAACACATTGCCGCTACGACCCAACAGCAAGTACACAACAAACGTCTACTTCCGTTTTCAGCGTCTGCGTCGACCGATGTCATGGGAGCCATAGCTGCCACCATCTCACTGCACCTCACCTCCCCAACTCGCCGCTCCCTCACATTCTTCACCGCCTCTCTTCGTCCTTCTTCTCCGATTCTAAAGCTCAACTCTTTCCCTGCAGCCGCCTCGCCGAGAGCTCCTAGTCTTCGTCGGCGGTATCATGTTCCATGAGCGTGGAAGCCGTCGAGAAGGCCTCCCCCGCCTCCTTTCTCGACCGCAGAGAAGCCGGATTCCTCCACTTCGTCAAGTACCACGGCCTCGGCAACGACTTCATCCTGGTATTCAATTTCTCTGAAATGTTGGAATTTTCAAAATTTTCAACTTAATTAGCTGAGAAGAAGTTATGGTTAGATGTTATCGATACGCTGTTTGGATTTTGAGTTTTCTTTTTGGTTTTGTGAGTGATAGGTTGATAACAGAGATTCTTCGGAACCTAAAATCAGTCCGGAGCAGGCGGCGAAGCTGTGTGATCGGAACTTTGGGATTGGCGCCGACGGAGTGATCTTCGCTCTGCCGGGCATCAACGGCACTGATTATACAATGAGGATTTACAATTCTGATGGGAGCGAGCCCGAGGTGACTTGCATTTCCCGAAAATTTGTGTTTTCTAAGCTTTAAATTTTATGTGGATAGTTGATTGCTGCATTGTATTGAATGGTAGTATTGGTGTTTAAAACTTGTGAAATTGGATATTAAATTGTGTTTTGTAGATGTGTGGTAATGGAGTCCGGTGTTTTGCCAGATTCATTGCCGAGCTCGAGAATTTGCAGGGACGGCATAGGTATGGTAAAGCTGGTTCCATGTACTGATAAACATTTTCGTTTATCAATGCTTGGTTATATATTACATTGTTTGCTTTAGTTTTTGTTGCATTTAACATTGAAAATAAATATCTATTCGGTCTTGCACTGATAGGTGTGTAAATTTCTAACAACAACAATCTGTGTGAACAATTGCAGCTTTAAGGTGCATACTGGTGCTGGTCTAATTATTCCGGAAATTCAAGAAGATGGGAAGGTATATTCTTGTTTATATTATGTTTCAGTTCAAGTAAACTATTTCAGATTGATATGCTTTGAGCACATCCAACATTTTGTAAAGCATGTGATGTGACTTTTGCAATTGTTGCTCTGGATGATCCATCATGCGTTGAGTATTGGATGTTAATATTTACTATAGCAGACATCAATTTTCTTAATTACAGGTTAAAGTTGATATGGGGGAACCAATTCTTAAGGCTTCAGACGTACCTACAAGACTGCCTGCAAACAAGATCAATCTGTTGTTAAGTCGGGTCTGAATGTAGATGGAGTAACCTGGAATGTAACCTGTGTTAGTATGGGAAATCCTCATTGCATAACTTTTGGCACAGAAGGAGGCCAGGTAAATTATTGCTGGAATAATTTCAGAGATATTCACTTCTACTAGGGGTCTGTTATTTTTTTTCCGGTTGCCTTCTTTCTGATACTTATCGTCTACTCAAATGAATGAACCAGTCTGGGCATGGTAAAGCCCAATTTTTTTTATAAGTGCAGTTTTTATCTACATCCATGTGAAGGTTCAACTGTTCAGATCCTCACTCAAGGGAAACTAAGTGCCCCTCGTATTTTACGAATTCATAAAGTAAGTTCTGCGTTTCATGTTAGCTCATGAATGATGGAAGTTCTTCAAGTACTCATTATTGTTGTGTGCGCACCCAAATGTATCCTATTTATTTTACTTTACTAATGGGAAGCTTTAACTCCGCCTATGTCTTACATGGCCGGTCCCAAGCCCGGATAAAGGAGGAGGGGGAGGGCGTCAGGTAGTCGACAGCCGGCACTCCATGATCACGTCGAATCCTTATGAAAATGAATCCAGAACAAAATCGCGCTAAAGCTAGGGCGTCACCCGTAAGTGGCGCGCTGTGTGGCCCGAGCACAGTGATAAGTGAGCAAGGGTCGCTGTATCTCCATCGGCACCCGGATGCAGTGTTAAATGAGCAAGGGGGCCATAGAAACTTCTTTTCGAACGACTCCACTCAAAGTTGTTTGGGAGCATATGCTCCTATCAACTTTACCCGGGACACACAAAAGAAGTACTTTGATCCTATTAGACGGGGGAGGGTGAAGAAGCTAGGACAGAAGGGTAGAGTTCAAGAGAGCAAAAATGCGTTTAGGAACGTGGAATATAGGAACCTTAACGGGAAAATCTATGGAAGTAGTGGAAGTTATGGTGAGGAGAAGGATAAATATTATGTGCCTACAAGAAACTAAGTGGGTTGGTAGTAAGGCAAAGGATCTAGAAAACTCAGGGTTTAAACTTTGGTATTCGGGCACAAATAGAACGAGAAACGGTGTTGGCATCATCGTGGACAAGACCTTGGTACAAGATGTTGTAGATGTCAAGAGGGTAGGAGATAGAATCATGGCAATCAAGATTGTAATAGGACAAGAACTTATCAATGTGATTAGTGCGTACGCACCTCAAGTAGGGTTGGATACGAGTTCGAAGGAGAAATTTTGGGAAGATCTTGGAGACTTGGTGCAAGGAATTGCTCAGACGGAGAAGTTATTTATAGGAGGAGATTTAAATGGACACGTGGGCAGGGAGACATGCAACTATGGAGGTTTTCATGGTGGCCATGGTTTTGGGGAGAGAAACGAGGATGGGGAAGCTATCTTGGATTTTGCAATGGCATATGATCTCTTCTTAGCCAACACCTTCTTTAAGAAGAGAGAAGAACATGTGATCACCTACAAGAGTGGGTCGTCAAAAACACAAATAGATTTTCTTCTAATGAGGAAAGGGGATCGTATAACTTGTAAGGATTGCAAAGTTATACCAGGAGAGAGCGTGGCTAATCAACATCGCTTGTTGGTGATGGATGTACATATCAAAAGAGTAAGACAAAAAAGAACAAGACTTGGAAGTGCCCAAGAACTAGATGGTGGAATCTAAAAGAAGAAAAACAAGCCATTTTCAAAGAGAAGGTAATCACCCAATGTGTGTGGGATAGAGAGGGGGAAGCTAGCCAAATGTGGGATTCCATGGCTAGTTGTATCCGAAAAGTAGCAAAAAGAGGTATTAGGAGAGTCCAAGGGCTTTGCCCCACACCAAAAGGGAATCTTGGTGGTGGAATGAGGAGGTACAAAACAAAGGTGAAGGCTAAGAAGGAATGTTGTAAAGCCTTATACAAGGAGAGGACCGATGAAAATGGTGAAAGGTATAGAAAAGCGAAGCAAGAGGCGAAGAAAGCTGTCAGAGAAGCTAAGTTAGCGGCTTACGACGATATGTATAAACGACTAGATACCAAAGAAGGAGAGTTGGATATCTATAAACTAGCTAGAGCAAGGGAAAAGAAGACAAGGGACCTAAACCAAGTGAGGTGCATCAAGGATGAGGATGGAAAGGTTCTTGCTACAGAGAACGCGGTTAAAGACAGATGGAAAGGTTATTTTCATAATCTTTTCAATGAAGGACATGAAAGGAGTGCTTCTTTAGGGGAGTTGAGTAACTCAGAAGAGTGTAGAAACTACTCCTTTTATCGTCGAATCCGGAAGGAAGAAGTGGTTTGTAGCTTTGAAGAAGATGAAGCATAGAAAAGCAATAGGCCCAGACGATTATACCAATCGAAGTGTGGAAAGTTTTGGGAGAGACAGGTATAACATGGCTCACTGACCTTTTCAATAGGATTTTGAAAACGAAGAAGATGCCAAATGAGTGGCGAACGAGCACTTTGGTGCCTATATACAAGAATAAGGGCGACGTACAAAAATTGCATGAACTATAGGGGTATTAAGCTAATGAGTCATACAATGAAGCTCTGGGAGAGAGTCATTGAGCATAGATTGAGGCAAGAGACACGGGTTTCGGACAAACCAATTCGGGTTCATGCCAGGGCGCTCAACCATGGAGGCAATCTATCTCTTACGAAGATTGATGGAAAGATATAGAGATGGGAAAAAAGGATTTACACATGGTCTTTATAGATTTGGAAAAAGCGTATGATAGGGTCCCAAGAGACATTCTTTGGAGG